TGGGAAATTGAAGCCAAAGTGTGCTCCATGGAAATGGAGCTTTGGTGGAAAATTTCTTAAGATTTGGAAAATGGCTTGTCCCATATTGGTTTGATGGGAAGAATTTTGTGGGTTTATATAGTTTGGAATTATAACTTGGGAAGGGCTCCAAGGGGCACCCCATGTTTGTAGAAGGGAGAGGTTATGAGCAAATTGGGCTAGACCCATTGGACTCAAAAATAACCACATGCGCGCGCTGCTGCGGTCAGTCGGGCGGGCTGGCTTGGGCTTGGGCGCGGGTGCATGGTGTGTGGTTGGGTTGGGCTTGTCCGGCCCAATACTAATCTTTTTGGGCCAAAAAGATTTGAATTTAATTTTTATTTTTGAAATAAAATTTGTCCAAGAATTCATTTCGAATTTCTGTCCAGATTAATTTCAAATTTTTGAATTCAAAATTTTTGCACCTCTTCAGAAAATTTTGTACGGTTTTAGTTTCAGTCCAAACCGAATCTATTCTGTTCAAATTCAAATCCACTCAAAACAGGTTTTTGAATTGCTTGAAATTCAAACCAAACAGTGCCTACAGATTTTGTATCTACTTAATTTAAATTGAACAGATATTGTACCTGTTTAATTCAAAATTAGCAGCCACCAAGCCACCACTTCATCTATATAAATAGACTAGTCCCTCATTTGGATTTTTACTCCAATTTTCGTTCATCTTGCTACAATTCATCTCTGCATTTTGCTGTATTAATTCCTTTAATTTTTTGTGAGAAAGACTGTAAGTGTATACACTTAGTGTGTTCGTTGTGCGACTAAATTGTAGTGTTGCATTTATTCGTTGATTGATCATTTAATCCTGGGAGATAGACGTCAATATTCTGAAAGCACCATGGAGAGGACGAATCTATCTTAAGGACACAATGTCGAACATTGGACTTGATCAAAATAATATTCAAGAAATTAATCAAGTAAGTTATTTATTTATTTTTTTTGTGTTATTATTATTTATTTAAATCAGATTTTAATTTTGTTTTTGTAACAAAATAAAATCTGTTTTTATTTTTTTTATTTCTAGTTTGATTTTTGTAATCAAACATTCACTCTCCTTTCCTATTTTTCTTTATATTCTGTTTGTCGTTTAGTACCCAAACAGAATTAATTAATTTAAATACAGTGAAGATTGTCCAACAATAACTAAAATAAGGTCATAACTAAAGAAGAAAATTGATTATAACTAAAAAAAAAATGACATAAGTTAATGGTGCATATGGTAGGAAGTATATATAGTTAAATGTTCTAATATATAGAGACTAACAGTGTAATTTGTCCTAATTTTTAGGCATTTGGCTCAATTGCATGTGTATGACATTCAAGATTCCGCTTTGCACTATTTTCCAAGGCTTTTTTGGTTTTCATGATTAATTGAGAGCCAGTACTTTGGTGATTCTAATCGATATTTTGAAAATTGGATATATGAGCGAATTGGAAAAGTGATTGGACGGACGAGTCACTAGTTCAATCATAGGTGAATCGAAATTAAACCACGATATCATAATTATGTCATACATATATTAAAATTTATAAATATAAAAAATATAAATATTAAAATTAAAAAATAATAAAAAATTACAAAAAAATATTTCTTAAAATTTATTTTATGTTTTTTATACATTGATTTTTAGTAAAAATAATTAAGATAATACTGAATATACAGTATGTATACTTATTATATTGTCAACAATTGTGTTGATAGCTTAGTTGTTAAAGTGCTTGCTTTTCATGCATTTGGTTCCACATTGAAACTCTCTTCACAACATATTTTTTGAAGAAAGTTCAATTGTTGAAACCCGGCCAATTATGTCAACCCGTAACTAGTTATTCTGGTTGAATCGGCAATTCTTCTGATTTTCAAATACTAAGCCGATTTTGAGCATAGTTCAGATTTGAAGGGTCATTCGGACTGGAACTAGGTCCTGTTACCGGTTCGACCGATCCAACTGGCCACTTTGGCCCACGTTTTCAAACATTGATTCTAAATGCTTTACCTTTACTTCAGTACAAATTTTACCAACCTTTACTTTCTTTTCCAAACAATTCATTCACAATCTCAGCCATATAGGTAATGCCATTGAGCCCTAGTTTTTCTCTTTTCCATGCAAATTGTAAGACTAAATTTTTGTTTTGTATAACTCTGATTGTGTAAAAGAGTATCACATTTCATATCATCATGGCCTGTAACATTTCAAAAATTATAACCTGATCTGTAAAATCTTCACTAATAATGAAATAAGAGCCTGTTTGGTATAATATGCAAGAAATAGAAACCAATTATTTGGGTCTGTTTGGTAATCATTTTCTTTTTAATTTTTTGTTTATATTTTAAATTTTTTTTAAAATTAACATAAAAATGTGTTTGGTAATTTTTTTGATTTATAAATAGTTAGTCTCAGTTTATAAATAAGACTGAAAAACATGAACACAAAAAAAAAATTGTTTTTTTTAAAAATTAGATTTGTAAATCCAAAAACACAGAGGCAAAAAAAAAAAAAAAAAAGGAAAAGGGTAAATTACATTTTGTCCCTTCATGTTTGACTACTTTCTCACTTTGGCTCTTAAAATTTATTTTTTTCCACTTTGGCACTTTATGTTTCAAGTTTTTTCCAATTTCCCCGTAAAGCTAACTTATGTTCAAAATTAGACAGAAAATATCATAATAACTGTCACATAATATAAAAAAGATATTATTATATTAAGATGTAAGTTTATGTCAAATATGTAACTTATATATAATAAAATATTTGTATGCCACATGATTATCAATGTGTCATTTTCAGTCTGATTTTGAATAAAAATTAGCTTAAGGAGTAAATTGAGAATAACTTGAAATATGAAGGACCTAAGTGAGAAAAACAAAATTTAAACTTTAAGGGCCAAAATGAGAAATTGCCCAAACATAAAAGAGACTAAGTGTAGGAGTGTAAAAATGGTCCGTGGCCTATGAGTGGCTCGAAACCCACCCGCAGCTTGGGGTGGGCCCAGCCTGTTTAGGCCCGGGCCTGAGCCCAGTTTGAGGCCGTGAGCTTGGGCTTGGGCCATTGTTTTGAAACCTGGCCCGGCCAGTAGGCCAAGGCCGTCTGGGCTAACCCATGGCCCGGCCCATTGGTTAACTCAAGGCCCACTCAAAGCCCCACCCGAGGCCCGACCTGCCAGAGGCCCAGTGTCATTTTTAGTGAAAAATAATAAAATTTTGTTGGAAAAAATAAAAAAATATATTTATGCCAGCCTAAGCCCTAGCCTAGGTCCAGGCCCACCGGTTTGGCCCGGCCAAGGCCCGAATACCCCCAGGCTTGGGTTTGGGCCTAATTTTCTGGTCTGTGGGCCAGCTCAGCTTGGCTTGAATTTTGGTGGGCGCCTGCGAGGCCCAACATGGGATGTAATGTGTGTGCTTATGTTTTTATTTTTTGTTTTTTGTTTTCCTTGCTACATCACTAGTGCTCTCTTTAGAGTTCTAAAATTGGAACTCTTTATCATTATTGAACACAAAAAACAAACATAAACATCACATCATATAATAGATCTCCTAGAGTTCTAAAATTAGAACTCTCAATCATTTTTGTTGTTACCTGTAAATTATTTCAACGCTATTCTTCAACGGTAAAAAGAAATGGCGATATCTCTCTCTCCCTCCCTCTCTCTCCATCATCAACAACAACTCAGCAGAAACATGTATCTCTCTTTTCTCTCTCTCGTCTCCCTCTCTCTCCTCTCTCTAAATGTAAAATGTAAAATACACAAAAGGAAGAAACAGAGACAGTTTATAGAACCGGTACGAAATAGCTACGTTTGTTTTATGGCTTTTTGTCAGTTCATTTGGTTAGGGTTTAGGGAGGAATTTGAAAAGAGAGAGAGAAAAAGTATATAAAATTAAGTAAAATGTAGATATATTTTATTTATATTTCACTTATATTTTTTCTTTTTGTTTCCAAATCCCTTCCAAAATTCCTGAGCCAAACACAGCTTTAATTTCCAATCTCTCATCCTTCACTGCAGGTCCTCTCTAACCCTACTCTATCCTCATCTCCAAATCACACTATCAAATCCAACAAATTCACGACCCTACCACTTCTCTGTCATAATCATCTTTGTAATCACTCTTTGTATTTCTCGTCAATCCTCCTGAAGGTTACAGAAGAAACGACGGCATTTGTATCGTCAATCCTCCCAAAATGGTCACATGTTCATACTATTCTTTCTCTAGAATTAGTTTCTCATTCTTTCTCTAAATGTAAAATACACATGAGGAAAGCTAGCATTTATAATTGTGGTTTGTATTTATGTATAACATATATTCACTTTGTTCTCATTATTATGCTTTTTTTTTTATATTAAAATTGTGATCAATTAAGTTTCATATGTATGGCAAACAGAACTTAATTATGTATGTCTAATTTTTAAATTGATTTATGGTTGGTATTATATTATATTTGGATGTTTATTATAATTTTATGATTTGTATGATTTTCAACATCATAAATAATTAAAAAACAAAATAAACATTTTATGCATTAAAATAACAAATATGTTTTTTGAGTTTTTGGTTTTAAATTTTTTTAAACATTTAGGTAGCGTTTGGTAATGTTTACGTTTTTGGTTTATGTTTACAAAAATTTTATAAACTAGTTTTTGTTTATTTTTAGAAAAACATAAATAATAAACACGTTTGGTTTTGACAAAATGTTTGAAAATTTTTGAAAACATAAACTAAGAAACATGTTTGTTAAGGCCTAATTTTTTTAAATTTTTTTTTTTATTTTTTAAATTTTTTTTTGACAATGGGATCATACACATTATCCATAATAATCATATTGATACAATACCAACCATAGATAAATTTAATAACCATAATAAACCATAATGTTCATAACAACTTACAAACCATAATAATAACATCTCAATTCTTCCACAAACCATAAAAAAAACATCTTCCACAATCTATTATACGCATAAATAATATTTCAATTGTTTCCGAGAGATTCCCAAATTTGACCAGCAATTTGATTCCTTACATCAGACATGTGACGTAATTGAGGTTGACTAGTGTCTAAGTCAATTGGTTGCTGAGAACTACTTCCTGCATGTGTCGAGCTACTACTACCACCTCCACTAGGCCCATCATCTTCAATGATACGATCTGGATTGGCCCATTCAGCGAACAATGTGTCATTTTGAGAATGTGTCCTTATCCAGTTGTGTATTGTACAGCATGCAATGGGGATGTATCTCTGCGTCTTAGTTGAATATGGAGGCATGTCTCTTAAAATTGGAAAGCGAGCCTTCAAGACACCAAAGCATCTCTCAATCACATTGCGCAGTGAGGAGTGTCGGTAATTGAACATTTGCTTCTTGTTTCTTGGTTGTCGCCTTTGATTACGAAACCCATTTAGATGGTACCTCTCACCACGGTATGGCGATAAAAAGCCAGTCATATTTCTATAACCTGAGTCGACAACATAGTATTTATCTGTTCAACATGTATGTATCTATTATTATGGGTTGACAAAAGAATATTCATTATAAATTAACAAAATGCCATATAATACGTACCTGTTGGTGGCGTTGGAAATAAATTTGTTGGATCATGTACGGTTTCAATGAACACTCTTGAATCATTTGCAGTTATAGCGACCCCGGTCTTTTCCCATTTAATTATTCTATCCGGACTTAGGTTCCGTAGACTCCGTCATTGTTTAATTGTTGTTGTCGTCCTTTATTTTCTCATTTGGAGTTATAGGATGTGTTGAGCAGGTTTGTTTCAGGTTGGTTGGGTTTAGAAATCCAGTGTTGCTGCCCAGAATTTTGACTCTTCGCTCGAGCGAGAAGTTCTTCGCTCGAGCGATCTCTTTGTTTTGGTCCTTCGCTCGAGCCAGGATAGCTTCGATCGAGCGAGGGTTGCGTTTTGAGTTAGACCTGAGAGCTGAGGTTTTTGGCTCGAGCGAGCTTTTCTTCGCTCGAGCGAGTTAGTTCGTTCTTCGCTCGAGCGATAGTTCCTTAGCTCGAGCGTGTGTCTGATTGCAGACCTGAGGGTTTGAGTTCTTCGCTCGATCGAGTTTTCTTTCGCTCGAGCGAGCTTTTGTGTTGTTGGCTCGAGCAAGGCTCCCTTGGCTCGAGCGTAGCTTCTCTGTGTCTGGTCGCTCGAGCGACCAAGTCTTCGCTCGAGCGAGCCTGTCCAGTATATATACGCAGCAGCAGGTTTTGATCAGTCTTTTTCATCTTCTTTTTTATCCCAAACCCTAGGTCCGACTTCTCTCTCTCCATACTCACCTTCTCTCTTAGATTTGATCCACTTAGGGTGTGTTTCTACCATAGATCCTTCATTAAAAAGATAGAGTGAGTCGAGGGCTTCCATTTAATCTGAACATTTGGCGATTTGGAGCACTTTGGTATTTGGGCACTCATCTCTGTCTTCACCATTTGGGTTGTTTTCTCTGAGGTAGGGATTTCCTACTCCATTTTATAGGTTTTGTTCTAAGTTTTGGTATTTTGATATGTTGGGTATACTTTGGTAAATTTTGGGAAAAACCCTAGTTGTATTATTAAATTAATTTGTATAATTAATTCATGGAATTGGGAAAAGATGGTTAAATTCATGGAATTGGGGAATTCATTGATTAAATGGCGTAATTGGATAATTTGAATCATTTGTCTATTGAATTGTAGACATTGCATGTGGATTAGGAATAACTGAAACTAATCACATTAGTTAAGTCATTAATTTTGATTATTGCATTGAAACAGAAAATACGTGTATTGATTGAGCATTGCATTTGCATATATTGTTTTGTGTGGGAGAAGATAGGGGATGTACTCCACGGTTTAGGGGAATATAGGGGATGGACTCCTAAACCGGATTTTATTTGGGAGGAGATAGGGGATGAACTCCATTGATACAGCAAATCTGTGTATCATTTGTGAAGTATGGAAGTGTTTTAATGTGTTATTGATACAGCGAAAGTGTTTTGATTTGAGCTTGAGTCTCATTTGTTTGTTGACATTGGAAGAATGTGAATTTGATATATATATATATATATAATTCACTGTTGTAAGTTTGGCCAGGTTCTGAGCCATATTGATAATGTTGGAAAGTAAAACGAGATTTAGTCATTGGTGTCATGAGACTGTTTGATGATGTAATTGATTATCTTGGTTAACCATCTATTAACTACTGATGCTTTATTCAATGCTTATATGTGGTTTAGTATATTTCTACTGGGCTGTGGCTCACCCTTTATGGGAACATCATTTTCAGGTCCAGGTGATAATCTACCTCCCAGGACTTAGCTTGGAAGGATTTGGATTGTGAAGACTATCTTTAATTGTTTGTTTTTTTTTTATTTGATAAATAAACAAGCCAAGGGCTTATTTGTATTTGGGTTAGAACTCATATTTTGTGTCCAAGTGTTGGCTTGGAAAGATGTAAGCCCATAGGGCATTTAATTTGATGTTACAAGTAATGCTTTTCTTTAGTAATACTCTGATGAATGAATTAATAAATTGTTTTCTTTAAATAAAGCATGTTGATGGTATACTTATAATGGGTTTATTTTTGAGGGCGTTACAGCAGTGCCCTCCCAACCGGCCAATACATACGTAAATCGCATATCAAATGAGCAAACACACATTACATTTTGCATTGTAACTGTATGCTTACCCCGATATGGTATTTGCTCTGATGCTGGCACCCTTGCAGATATGTGGGTACCATCAATTGCTCCAACACAATCCTATTTGACAAATGACTTTAATAATGCAGGATATTTTACTAAAATTTATATTTCAAATATTCTGTTAGTGATTACCTTAAAAAAAGGATAGAAGCGTGGATTATGTCGAATTTCTGCAGGCACCTCATCAAAATCTGGAGGCCTTATAACTTGTTTACCAAGCCTACACACTGCCTTCAAGACTCGGTTGAAGTATTTGGAGATGGTCTGGCCAGAATGTTGGAATCGCTCTTGGACAACACGATTTCGTTCGTTGTGACCAATTGTTAGCAAAAATATACAAACCTGCTCTTGGCCAGTCAGATAACGTGAGTGTTCTAGTTTACCATATACCTTAAGTGCCTCGCACAAATTAATAAATACATCTGGTTCCATTCTAAAATTTTCCTTGGATCTTCTTTCATGGCCATTCAATATTTCTAATACGTAGTCATGTCCTTGTAATATGGACGTTCGGCATGGTCTAGATTGAAGGTAAGTATTACAATACCCATGTAGTGCTACACACACCAGAAATTGTATATTTTCATCGTCACTGTCTGAGTCAAAACTCAAATCAAGAGCATGCATCGGCTCCATATATATCACTGTGATATAGTGCTGACCCCTTAAAAACAAAAGTATTAGTGATAATGAAAATACATGAGGTAAGATTATTTTAAATCATAACAAAACAAATAGTAAATTGGCGATCATGCGTATGGTAAGATTATTTTAAATCATAACAAAACAAATAGTAAATTGGCGATCATGCGTATGGTAAGATTATTTTAAATCATAACAAAACAAATAGTAAATTGGCGATCATGCGTATGGTAAGATTATTTTAAATCATAACAAAACAAATAGTAAATTGGCGATCATGCGTATGGTAAGATTATTTTAAATCATAACAAAACAAATAGTAAATTGGCGATCATGCGTATGGTAAGATTATTTTAAATCATAACAAAACAAATAATGGAGACTTTTAAAGCCAAAGTTTCTGGTCTCTTTCTTTATTGTATGACTATACCACATTTTCTTTATTTATGCTGTAGACCGAAATAAAGAGAAACATTAAATTCAGTCATCCCCATGCACACATACTCCATATAGTCATCTTTTTTGCAAATTGCTTTTCAATCTATGAAGGGGGTATCTCATCTCTATGTCAATCTCAAATTCACCCGTTAGAAGCTCCAAAATTTCAGTAAAGGAACTCAAATCAATGCCCTTTCATTGGGGCATTTCATCAAACAGGTAATTTGCGCGCACACACATACACACACACACACAAAAGGTTCATCAAACCTCCCTATTTAGGCCTCATAGTCAGAGAGACTTGGCTTTATTCACAAGTAGAGTACCAAATTGTTCCAAATTAAAATAACCCACATCTAGTGATGTTTCATATGACTTCAAATTTGGACCAGATGTTTCATATGACTTCAAAATAATTCGTGCCAGAAACCCACATGTAGTGATGTTTCATATGACTTCAAAATTTGGGGAAATCCAGACACATTGACTAGAACAGAACAGTATCATGGAAAAAATAATGTTGACAATACAGTGACATAAGAATTTTATATAGAAGAAGATCATACATACCTTGCAATGCAGTGTTGAGAATGCAGTGATACAATGTTGACAATACTTCCTATGCAATGTTGACAATGCAGTAAAGAGAGCATACTACTAACAAACATTATATAGGAGAAAGAGCATTCAATACTTCAACTAATCATAAACTACCATAATAAAAAGAGCCTGCATACCAGTACAATATTATATCAATAATGGAAAGCCTGCATACCATTTACTCAATTTGATATCTACCCATCTACCCATCTCTTTGCAGTACAATATTAAAAACACCAGTAGAATACACCTAACTCTGTTTTCATAATAAATTATCCTGAAACAAATATTAAAAACATAAAATAAAAACTACAATACAACAATTACAACACCAAATTTGTTACAGCACCAAATATTATCCAACAATACAAGCTTGTTCACAAAATACACTAATTCTGTTACAGCACAAAAGATTATCCAACAATACAACAGTTACAGTACCAAATATAAACTTCCATAATAAGTCTGTTTCCATAATAAACTACCAAATAAATTAAACAACACAAACACATACCACACTAAATATGCACTCTCTCAAAGATTAAGCACCCAATCCCTCATCCTACTAGCAGGCATATCAACAAATACCTCCCTTATTATGGGATCCGATGCAAGCTTGTTCACAGCTTTAGTGTAAGCAGCAGCAGGGATTTCCTCCATACCATGCAATAGTGCCATGCACTCTTTTAGTAATGAACGTGATGGAGTAGAGCCACCTTCAATTGAACCACTGTCATTGCCAACATTAGTAACTGAAGCACTTGTGAAACGCTTTTCCATTAGGTTCACCTTCCTCTTGCTATTTTCACTCATTTCTTTGAGTGCTTTAGAAATATTAGCTTGAAAAGAGCTCATCTTCTTACTCTTTTTGCCTCCCATTTTGCTCTTGCCTTGGCCATCTCCATTGTCATTATCACTATCAATTTGCAATGCATCTAACTCCTCATTCTTTACCTTAAATTCAGGATCAGAACTGGCACTACTTTCAGAAGGTGATTTGGTGGAAGGAAAAGCTAGTTTACCAGTTGCGGATGTGTCTCCTAAGATACGAGACAACTCATGGTAGTAAACCATCCCTTTCTTCCTAAACCTCTTTGCATGGGTATTAACCTACAAATCAATGAATTTGAAGTTAACATGAACAATTCTCCAATTAAATGTAGTAAAGAAAATTCAAAAAGTTAATTAAACCTTGTAAAGGGCTTCCTAAACGTCATCCGATGCAGTGATAGTAAGTCGCTGGCTATCCCAACCAACACCAATATGCTTCAGTAATGATGTAAATTTGTTGAACATAATACGCAGCTGATTGTATTTGTTCCGAAGCTGGTGTGCGTTATACTTGTATTGGGTTTTTACGTTCATTTGATCTCTCAACCTATTCCAAGCTTGTCTAGTGAATGTTCCAGTTATTTTACTATTCTTGGTTTTCACCTCCTCATCCATGAGGGTAATGAAAAGAGCCTCATTTGCCTGAGGCCATGAACTACTGTTTCCTCTACCAACTTCAACAACATCGTCATCATCAATGGGGAGATCATAATGTATTGTTGATGCCATTACCTAAATATTTATATTTATTCATAGATAAACAAATTTCAAAAAAATATAAGTCAAATAAAATGAAGAGACATTGAAGAATAAACAGCAGTTTAAATATCTTGTGGGTTGGTATAGCAGATTTTGAAGATTTCTAGCAAATAAGTCAAATGAATGAAAATATGAGTTTACTAGCATATAAGTAAAAAAATAGCATTCTGTTAAAATCAAATAAATGTATAGATTACTAGATTAGTAGCATTCTGTTAAAAGTAACACTTAAGTGAAAAAATAGCACTTAAATCAAACAATAGCACTTACTAGCATTCTGTTAAAAAATAGCACTTAAGTCAAAAAATATAAGTCAAATAAATGTATAGATTACTAGCATTCTGTAAATATAAGTCAAATAAATTTATGAAAAAAATACATTTGCCTCACCAAGGTTTGAATCTAGAGTGGCCTAAGAAACTATTGGATAAAGAATCTAGAGTGGCCTATTCTAGAGTGAATAAAGAATCTAGAGTGACATTCAACTTTAATCTGACTGAAACTATCAAAGTGTGTTATGCAGTCAACTAATTACAAGTTGACCAGTTCTGAAAATCCCAACAAGGACGTGACAATGGCTTATCATAAGGATGACAAACATTTCAATTGATGAATTATCAAAGTCAACAACTAGGTCCTAGCTAACAATCAAAACAATCCACAAAGATAATCAACCTCAGGAGTAATGAAGATAGTGCTGACTTTGCCGTATGTGAAATACCTACTACAAATATACTTTGACAGCAAATCACAACACCATCTTCCCTGCAATGGGATAACACAAGTTCTTTTGAACATTTTAAGGGTAGATGAAACAGATACGATGATATGCCAAAGTAGAGCCAGACAGGCGTATGCTGGAACTATTCCATCCCTCAATCAAGTGATTATTTATAGGGAAAGTGTTCAACATGTCATGTCCAATTCATCTAAGAAAAATGGCATTGCAGAAGATCTTTTTGCCTGATGATGAGATACAAAACCCAATTCAGTTTCAAGCAAAACCAATTATTTGACTCATATTTCCCCAAAACCCAATTCAGTTTCAAGCAAAACCCACCAATACAAACATGAAAATCTAAAAAATGTCACTTTTTATGCTCAACTCTCATTGTAACAGACAGAATGTTAACTCTCATTGTAACAATAAATATATTTTCAGTTCTGATGCTCAAGTCTTGACAACAATCTAATTTCATGTTCAGCAATGGCTATGGCACAGGTTAATCAGGGCTCCTTCTAAGGTCCTACAGATTAGGTTTTCCCAAAGCAGAACAGATTTCTGGTTCCGAAAAAAAAAATAGATTTGTAGCACATATCTACAACCAAAAAAAAAAAAAAGAAGAGATTTCTGCAGAACAGATTTCGGAAATTTTGCAAAAGATCTGCAAAATAGATTTGTCATTTCAGGAAAAAAAAAAACCACCATGGTAGCTCTACAAAAATCTGAGATCAATTTGCTGCCATTGAAGCTGCCATCAAATTGATCTCAGCTGCAATGAAATCCCAAAGCTGCCATCAATTTGATGGCAGTTGAAATCCCAAAGCTACCATGAAATCAAAGCTGCCATCGAAGAGAGAGAGAAGAAAGAGACCTAAGTGCACATGAAATCGATCTGTCAACAAACAAACATACCCTTTGTCTCATCATTAATCGATTTCATGACAGATCTATTAACCTACAAACCATAGCAAGAGAGAGAGAGAGAGAAGAAACAGACATGAGATCAATTTGTTGACAGATCTACAAAGATCTGCATGTTTGCAACATAATGTTTTAGAAAAGAAAACAAAAATCGAAGCTCGGTGAACACAGAGAGCAAGGTCGGTGAACACAGAGAAGAGAGTGGAGACTAAGAGAGAAGAGAGGGGAGAGAGAGAGAAGAGAGAGAAGAGAGACTAACCTGATCTGTGAAGTTCAAGTGAACATAAATGAGGTGGAGGAAGATGAGATATTACCGTTGGACAAAATAAATAAATGAGGTTGAGGAAGATGAGCTATTAATGATGGACAAAATAAATTCAATATTGGTGCTGCGGAGATTTGAACCAGGATCAAGTTGCCAACAATTAAGTTACTGTAGCTCCGCTACAGTAACTTCCGCTACAGTGCCAGTTTATTAAATCAGTGAAAACAGGTTTTTTCTGTTTCCATTTTTTGGGTAAAATTTATAAACTGGGAAGTTGAATTATAAATCAATTTTTTTTACCAAACGAGTTTTTACCACAGTTTTTAAAATTTTTGTAAATATAAACTGTAAACTGAAAATAAAATGGTTACCAAACATACCCTTAGTTTTTTATTCCAAAAAAAAAATGTTTAAAAAAAATTTAAAAACAAAAATGTTAAAATTTTTTTTTTGATTTAAACATTTTGTTTAAATCAAATATGTTTGCAGTTTTTATTTTTTTAAAAAATAAACAAAAAACAATTTATAATTTTTTTATAAATATAAAAAAAAAAAAAAACCATAAACGTTACCAAACGCCAACTTATCTATTTCATCAATAATGATATGATAAGGGTGTTGAGCATTACATGATTGAGTTTACGACAAATCAAAAATTAATACATAACCTCTAATGTCATTGTTGGTAAATTATACGACTTAAATTGTGAGTTTTAATATTTTTTCTTATAAAATTATAGTTTCTTTCTAGGTGAGAAAATACCATTTAATTGGGACAAACAACAAATAAAAGTGGACATGCATTTGTTTTTCTTTTCTTCTTTTTTTTTATTGTATTCAAATCAGCAATTTAATTTATAAAATTTATAAAAACTAATTTTTATTTCTTATCAAATCTCACCACTTTTAAAGAGGATCAAAACATGAGTTAAATTTTTCCTTTTTATTTGTCACTATTTCTCTTTTTTGTTTAGGGGGAATTACTTATCAGTTAGATAGAAAAAAATAAATCACAAACATTACACCCTGCAACTTTTCACTTGCATCCTATAGCGACCCCGGTCTTCTCCCATTTGATTATTGTATCCGGACTTAGGTTCCGTAGATTCTGTCATTGTATAATTGTTGTTGTTGTCCCTTATTTTCTCATTTGGACTTGTAGGATGTGTTGGGCAGGTTTGTTTCAGGTTGGTTGGGTTTAGAAACCAAGTGTTGCTGTCCAGGTTTTTGGTTCTTCGCTCGAGCGAAGAGTTGGTCGCTCGAGCGAGAGGTGGCGTCCAATATGGACCTGTAGCTTTGCATTATTGGCTCGAGCGAGCTTTTCTTCGCTCGAGCGAGTTAGTTCGTTCTTCGCTCGAGCGATAGTTCCTCCGCTCGAGCATGAGTTTGGTTACAGACCTGAGGGTTTGAGTTCTTCGCTCGATCGAGTTTTCTTTCGCTCGAGCGAGCTTTTGGATTGTTGGCTCGAGCAAGGCTTCCTTGGCTCGAGCGTAGCTTCTCTGTGTCTGGTCGCTCGAGCGACCAAGTCTTCGCTCGAGCTATCAAATCTCACCACTTTTAAAGAGAATCAAAACATGAGTTAAATTTTTCTTTTTTATTTGTCACTATTTCTCTTTTTTGTTTAGGGAGAATTACTTATCAGTTAAATAGAAAAAAATAAATCACACAAACATTACACCTCCACAACTTTTCACTTGCATCCTACCATAAAATCACTTGCACCCTTTATATTTTTGTAATTTTTTTTCTCTACTCCACTCCACTGGTTAAGTAATTTTTCTTTTTTTTCCTCACATTTTTTTATCACTTTAATCATCCAACAAACTAATGAGAGAACTCTTTTTCCTATTTTTTCTTTCTTTCTTCTTTTTTTTATTTTATTTAATTTTTTAAGCAAAAATTTCAATCCAAACAAACTGTAAGAGAGAAATGAGGTGGGTGATTCATTATCACTTTTTGGTTTTCTCTTAAAATTAAGATTAGTGTTTTGATATTAATTTATTTATTTTGATTGAATTTAAAAATATATATTTTTCATTATCAGAAATATAAGAATCTTATGGGTTTGATGAAAATTTTTTACTTCTAATTTTATTCACTAAACTACTTTAAAGTGAAGACTTACAAATGTTTTCCATTTTTTCATGTCCCAAAATGCCATCACACGTTCTAACACGAGCCACCTCTTACATGACCATTTGTAATCTATACAACCTGTTACCCAACCGTTTCACTTTTACCCAACTGTTGCGATTTTTGATAATAAATTTCATTCGCTGTGCTGTCCATAGAATGAGAAGTTATCTGGTGGCCCATCCTACCATGTCGTTGTATGACTATATTATAACAAGAGAATACTTAATCACTTTGGCTAAAACATAGAAGAGAAAGTAAAAAAACATTAATTACATGACTCAATACAGTGGTGTTTTGAGAAGTTGGTAAAAAATTAATTTTTTAATTTTTTTTAGTTTATTTTGTCTTTTTATAAATAAAGAATATGAGAGATAATGTGATCCAAAATGAATAAAAAGCTAAAAATTGACTTTTTATTTGATTGCCAGAGCACCCCCACAATTGTAAAGATACATCACCTCACGTGAACCTATTTGATAATTTCTTGGACGAGACACTTGTTGCTTTTTTTTTTTTTTTGGCTTCTCTTCTTCCTTTTTTTTTTTTTTTTTTGGCAATAGTAAATGATGACTTGAAATATTTCATCTCATAAGAATCTCCATTCATCACTCAGCACAATTATATTTTTTCTTGAATTACTTCATACAAATCAAAATTCACAAATCACCTTAGCCCCAACTGCTTCACGTAGAACAATAAGAGACACACCTACACTCACGAATTATAGTACAACCACACCAACCACACTACTTGAAAACTCTCTCACAATATTTGTTTCCCAACCAAAACAATTAAAAACGAGTTTAAATTTTTTATTTTTTTATTTCTTACCAAATCTCACCACTTTTAAAGACAACATGAGTTTAAATTTTTCTTTTTCTTTTTTTTTTTGAGGGAGGGGGGGGCGGTGGGTAATTATTTATC